CAAGGTAATTCTGTTATTCCTCCTCCTCCCCTTCCTCTTCCTCCACCTCCTCCTGCTCTCCCCCCCTCCTTTTTTGAAAGAAGAGATTAGTTTCCAGCCTGAGTGGGAGGTTGAACCTTCAAGGTCTCTCCAACTCTTATTATTCTCTTCTTTTCTATTTCTACTTCTATTCCAATTCATTCTGTCCTGTCCTGTCCTATCCTATTCTGTTCTTTTCTATTCTATTCTAATTCATTCTATTCTATTCTATTTTAATTCTAATTCATTTTATTTTATTCTGTTCTAAAACATTCTATTCTAATTCACTCGCCTCTCCTTTATTCTATTCTAATCTAATTCTATTCTATTCTATTCTAATTCATTTTATTTTGTTCTATTTTATTCTAATTCATTCTATTCTATTCTAATTCTAATTCACTCTACTCTACTCTACTCTTTCTAATTGTAATTATAGTTTTGTCCCAAAGCTGTTATGTTTAAAACAACGGAGCAATTTCCTATCCTATCTTAGCTGGGTTTGCCAAACACTTTAAATAAATTTTGCTGCTAAATTGAACCATCCAGGGGGTGCGCTACCCCACACATTTAATCATAAACGGATTAAACTGGCAGAATCCCATGAAAATAAACCAAGCTAAACATTAGTTGAGCTTAGTGGTTGAGAGAAGCCAGAATTAAAGTCTCAACAGGGTTAAAACAGCTCGCCAAATGCTAGCCAAATCGGTTGCAGATTTGCAATTTTTCTGTTGATCTTTTAAAGCAGAATTGAGAAGGTTTTATATTTTATGTTTGACGCCAAATATTTTTGCCAATCAGCATTGAGCCCACCTTGGCAATACAGGTAGCCTTTAAAACCTTTCATTCCAAGTTACAACAGCACTGAAAAACACTACTTACGACCGTTGTTCACACTTAACGACCGTTGCAGCATCCCTGTGGTTATCGGATCAAAATTCAGACACTTGGCAATTGATGCATATTTATGACGGTTGCAAGGTCTTGGGGTTAAAAAATGCTCGGATATCTTGGGAAGTCATCCCAATTGGAACATCCCTTTTAACTCCATGTTGCTGCAAGACAACCCACGATGGCACATTAATTGTACTACGATTTTGTGTGTGTTTCTTTGAAGCAAAGCTGAACCAAAGTTCCAGTTATATTTTGGCTACCTGATGAGGGCTAGAAACTCCTTTTTTAAAAAATCGAATTCTCCGGCGCCTAAATATCTTGCCTCGCTCATTCCCTGCTGCTTTGCCCTGATTATGTATGTATTTTGTACTATTTCAAGAGCAAATCTTCTGGTGGCTTTTGTCAGTTTCTTATTTTGTTGGCCTGTTGGAGAGTTGAGGTAAAATTTTGAGAGGTGTTGAATCTAGAACTGTATTTCTCACCGTTAGCAACTTCAAGATATCTGGACTTCAATTCCCAGAATTCCCTAGCCAGCTGGCTGGGGAATTCTGGGAGTTGAAGTCCAACTTGAGATATATCAACATGACAAGACATTATGGGTGACAGTCACACTGACAAGACTAAAGAAAGGCAGGGAGGCCCAGATTTGTTGAATGGGGTGACATCCCAAACCTGGTTAGCAGTAATCTTGATTAGTTCTTTTCTGCGACTTACCTTGTCAGGTTAATCCGAAAAGTTGATTTACTGACCCACAATTAAATCAAATAAAGCCTGGTGGAATTAGTGAACCAGGAGTTGATAGAACTAAGGTGAGCCATTAGGTCCAATACAGGTAGTCTTCGACTTACGACCACAAATTTTTGCTGCTAAGTGAGATAGTTGCAAAGGGAGATTCGCCCCCGTTTTATCTTGTCACAGTTGTTAAGTGAAGCGCCACCGTTATGTGATTCTGGCTTTCCCCGTTGACTTGGCTCGTTAGAACGTCCCAAAAGGGGATCACACCACAATACCACAATCATCATAAATATAAGTCAGTTGCCAAGTGGCTACATTTTAGTCACATTATTATGGGGGACGTAAGTGGCATGGTGAGGTGGCCTAGAAGTGGAGTTCTCACCTCACAATCAGGAGGCTGTGAGTGCGATCCTAGGGAGAGGCAGATATTTCTCTCTCTGGGTACGCTGAGAATATATTTGTTGAGGGAAAAAACTCTGCATCAGCGACAGGAATGGCATCCGGCCATTAAAACGCTCGGCTAGCTCCATTCAGTTGCCCAGATTCTACCCTGCAAGGGATTTTGTGGTCGTTAAAAGAGGATGATGATTAAGGGGATGTAAGTGTGAAGACAGTTGTCTTTTTTTTCCCCCAGCGCTGTTGCAATTTGAAACAGTCACTAACCAGAATGGTCGTAAATTGAGAATGATGTGCATTTGGCTATTCTGTATTTTTTAAATATGGGAATTCTTCTATTTATGACCACATCTGAGCCCAAATTGTCTGTTGCTAAGCGACACGTATGTGAAGGGAGTTTTGCCCTGTTTATGACCTTTTTCGCCTCAGTTGTTAAGTGAATCGCAGCAGTTGATCAGTCAGTCATCCGGTTGTTAAGTGAATCTGGCTTCTCCATTGACTTGGCTTGTGAGAAGGTCGCAAAAGTGGGAATCACGTGTCCCTGGGACCCTGCAATCATCATAAATATGAACCAGTTGCCCGACATTTGAATTTTGATCGCGTGATTCTGGGGATGCTGCAAATGTTGTAACTCTGAAAAACGGTCATAACTCAACATTTTTCAGTGCCATTGTAACTGTGAATGGTCACTAAATGAACTGTTGTAAGTCAAGGACTAACGGTAGAGTTTCAGGGTTGTTCTTCTCCCTTTCTGTCTCTATAGAAGGTGAAAACTGAGGCATTTCTAATTTGCCCCTATTTCAGGGGTATCCAAACATGGCGACTTTAAAACGCATGGACTTCAACTCCCAGAATTCCCCGGCCAACTTCAAGCCAATCTCCCAACTCCACGCCGATCCTTGGATGCTTCATTTAAGGCCATGTTTCTCAAATGTGGCCCCTTTAAGACGCGCGGACTTCGACTCCCCGAATTCCTCATCCAGTATGGCTGGTTGGGGAATTCTGGGAGTTGAAGTCCACAAATCTTAAAGTTGCCAAGATTAAAATTCCCTGCCCATTCATCTCTATGATGTATTACAACAACAAACCAGAGACCGGTTTTTCCTAAAATTGAACATTTCTGGACAGTTTCATTGGAAACGAGATTAAGAATGCGCAAGAAAAACAGGCCACGCCAGAAATCCAACACACACAAAATTTCATTCTTTGAACATCCTAATTTTGGAAAAAGGGCTGTGGCTGAAATATCCCAGGTAGTCCTCAACTTACGACAACAAGGACCGAAACGTTCATCATTAAGCATTGCTAAGTAGCGCATCAGCTGACCGCACCTGAATTTATGGCCCTTTTGTCAAGATCATTAAGCGAATTCACACAGTTGTTAAAGCGAGACATAATCGTGGCTTACGACCTTCCCTGCCAGCTTGTCAGAAGCTGGCTGAGGTCATCACAAATTCCAAACATGTGAATTTGGGATCCTGCAATGATCATAAATGCGTTGAATGAATGCAAGAGCTGTGGTGGTGCAATAGTTAGAATGCAGTATTGCAGGCAAACTCTGCCCACGGTCAGGAGTTCGATCCTGATCGGCTCTAGGTCTTCCATCCTTCCAGGGTCAGTAAAACAAGGACCTGGATTGTTATGGGCAAAATGCTGACTCTGTAAACCAATTCGAAAGGGCTGTGAAGCACTCCATAATTCTAAGTGGTATATAAGTCTATTGCTATTGTTAAGCACCTTAATCATGGTCACGTGGCTGCAGGGCCACTACAACAGTCATAAAACATGGGACCGGTAGGCACTATTTTCAGCACCATCCTAGTGTCAACTCGTAAAGCATTCCTGGCCTGCTCTCAGAGTTGCCATAGGCAGGAAGCGGGGTAGAACTGATGGAGCAGCTCGGTTGCTGTGACCAGAAGTACATTCCACACATAACTTTCTCCAGATTGTATCCCAGGTTACCAGAGCCAGCCGCAGAGGCGTGTTTTCTACAGCCCGCTAAAGTGCTCCGTTGGAGAATGTGATTTATGACACACCCTGGGAGGAGGGGGGGCGGAAACAGGGTCATAGGCAGGCAGTAAATTACGTGAGGCAGTGCCGCCTGCACTTGGGAAAGTGCGGACATGTTGCTCCTAATAAATAATTGGATTTCTTTTTAAACCCTAACCCTGACACTTAGCTTTCGCTAAACGAATGGTTATAATGCGAGGACTACCTGTATATCTGGAAATATTTCACAGGCCGCTCTTTTCGGAACAAAAACCAGGTGCACATTTAGATACTTAGAAGAACTTAGAAACTTGGAAATTTGCAGACTGATCCGCCCAGCATCTTAAATGAGGAAGTAAAACTAAAAGTCCCCAAATTTCTATTCGCCCCCTTATTTTTTTGTATCTCAGTCACCTCACATTTGATCTTTTCGTTTCCTACGAGATGTTTTTCTTTAATATAATTTTTATTTTCTTTTTTTAAGTCATTCCCCAACCTTCCCACCCCCTCACTTTAAATACACAACAGAAAGACAATTTTTTTTCCCCCAAGTCTAGGGGTGAGATGAAGGAGAGTTGAGAATGGGGTGACGGATCAGCTGTTTTTCCGTTCAGCTTTCCTTACTCCCCGCTAGTTTGTTTGGTATCTGTGTAAGGGTGGTGGGTTTTAATTTTTGAGTCTCCTTCTTTAACCCACACGTTTACCATCTTCATCCAGTTCTCAAAATTCACGTCCATCTTTTGTCAGCTGGAAGGGAGTAGAAAATACGCCGTGATCGGAGGGAATGAAAAGATCGCCCCCTTCCAAAATAAGTGTTACAAAGGCAGGAAAGAACGTGGAGGGTTAATTTTTTTTACTCCTTCATCTTATGTCTTTTTAAAACAAAACAAAAAAATTATTTCCAGTTTGCTTTTTATGACTTTTTTGTTGTTGGTGGTGGTGGATGTTCTCTTTCTCTCTCTCTCTCTCTCTCTTTTTTTTTTTTTTGGTTATTGTATAGAAGTTTTTTTTAAGAGCTTTGGATTCCTAAAGAGGGTTTTTGTGTATTTTTTTTCTTTTTTCATTTTTTGCAAGGTTTTTGTCAGCACACGGCACCTGGGACGGCAACTGCGTGTTTGACGAGAGTCAGTCAGTTGTTCAGTGTTCTTTCTCTCTCTCTCATTTTTTTTTTTTATTTTAAATTATTTTCTTTTAAAGCCATCGGAGTTAGGTTTTTCGCGTCATTTCCCCGCGCTGAGACAGAACTCACGTCTATCAAGAGGAAAAAGACAGTTGAGGTTGTTGGGTTTTATTTGGTTCCCAAGGGCAGGAAAAGACCCAGCTGGGGGGGTGGGAAAAAGAAAGAGGAGAGAGACGAGAGAAAATAAAATAAAATAAAATTACGGGAAAGAGAAAACTCTCACCCTGTTTGGTTGCTGATCAAATCCATCAACAGTTCAGGAAGTTGTCCATCCGTCCTTGATGGTTTTAATATACAAAAATGGGCAGCGCATGCTTTTTTTTGAGGGTTGGTGGTGGTTGGCGTGGGGAGACTGAATTTCTCACTTCCCCTGTCTTAAACTGCATGTCCTCGAGTTTATCTTTTATTTTTATTTTTTTTTTCTTGTCCATTCTTTCTTTGCTTTTTCATTTTTGGCCTTTTTTTTTTTTTCAGTCGGTAACACAGTAAAAAGAGCGGAAGGTTAAGTGTTAAGAGAAGAAGGGGTGGAGGATGCGAGGTGTGTAAGTATGTGTGTGTGTGTGTGTGTGAGAGAGAGAGAGAGAGGAGACTTGTGAGTGTAGGATGGACGTCAAGATTGGCCAGAAACTGTCTTCAACGGGGTGGGTGGAAGAGGTCAGATAGATGGTAGCGCAGGTGGGTTGAAGGAAGGTTTGGAGCCACCTGCAGCTGGGGGAACAGGAGTTATGGGACACGTGGGTGAAGAACTTTGGTACCCCAATATGAAGAGGGGGTGACATAGTTTTGATATTATAAAGGAGTGGGGGGGGGGGAACTTCTCAGCATCATCAAAAGACATTAAAATTTTAGGAGGCATCTTCTTGAGATGTTCCTGGCAGGTAGGAAGGTGGTTGAAGATGCAGAGGGGACCTGTCAGTAGTACAGGAGGCGGAAGACTCAGGAGTACAGAAATAGTTGGGTAGGGATTCTGGAAGAGGTCATGAGCTGCCAATCTCGTTGGATCTGGCCACAGGATCTCGTGATCCGGGAGAGGGGCGGGGGGCGGGGGGCGGGGCAAGGTAGGGCATTAACCATCAATGGGTTCTTAGGGAGATGCCTGAATGGGAGGAAGGGCAGAACCGCTCAGTGTGAAGAAAAGCTAGGAGAACGTCTGCAACAGCCAGTGTTGAGTTGGGTACCCTCTTAGAGAAGATCAAACTTGGTAAGGACCACCAAGGCTTCCACCAATGGACGGGTTGCCGTTTGGCTCGGCCTCTGGTTATTCTGTGGAAGCAGGATAAAAACTGGGGTGGGGACTTGGGCCCTTTGAAGTCAGCTGGCTGGCAGTGAGAAATGGGGGGAACCTGGGTCTGAAATGGACCTTGAAGGAGGACTGTTGGGTGGAAGCAGAGGGGTGGCCCTTGTGGGCGTCCACCCACCCACAGGTCTGTTCGCTAGTCAATCTCTCTCCATTGATGGCAGTACAGCATCCATCTCTATAAAGCTAGTAGTGTCGTAGAGGTAGCGTTACTTTTTGGATTGGAGTCCGAGTGAGGTAATTTGGATTCCTCTTTGGCAAACACCGATGCGGTTGCTGTGGTGGAGCTGGCCTTACGCCGGTGAGCGCTGGAGCGCAGGTGGGCTCCCAGTGCCTCCCGGCCACTCACGAGCACCTCGCAAGCCAGGCAGTGGTAGGTGCACACGGGCACGCGCAGTGGAGGCGGCGGTGCCTGGCGCCCGAAGTAGCAGAGTGCGGCTTGATGGGCGACGGCTGGCCCCTCGCTCTCGAAGGCGGCCTTGCACTGGCGACAAAGGTACTGATGGGTCACGTCGACTGTAGAGATGCCGGGGGCCTCGGACACCTCAACGGGGGGCTCAGGTGTGGGTGTTGGGAGCAAAGGGGTGGGCAGCAGCCCCATAAGTGTCTGAGGTATGACGGGGTTCATGGGGAACAGCCCCTTCTTCATGCCGTAGAGCTGCTGAAAATAAGCCCCGGGCAGTTGCGCTCCGAAAAGAGAGGGGGCGGCTGCTGCTGCAGTAGCCGCTGCTGGCAACGGGAAGGGCAGGAACTGGCCTCCAAGCAGGGTCGGCACCGCAGCCTTCAACGTCTTGAGGTTCTTCAGCGTGGCAGTGGAGGACAAGGAGGATTCCTGGGCTGGATTTGAATTCGGTTCAGCCTGACTGTCACTGGGAGAGGTCTCGGGAGCAGGAGCAGGCTCAGTTAAGGGGCCAACCTGGCCAGATTCTGGTGGCAGATGCTGAGGTAAGGAGAGGCCTGGCTGGGAGGTGGCCAAAGGGGAGCTCAGGATCCCCGCGGAGGAAGCAGCCGTGCCTGTTCGGGTGGGAGAAAAAAAAGAGAAATGAATCGAGGGGGGCTTCTGTCTCTTTGGGAAAGTGTATCCTTGCCAAACGCCTTCACCCTTTTCCCCCGGATCGAAATTGCAGAACCATTTTCCTGCCCTCCTCCAACCTTACCACGGTCTCCTCTGAAACGGGAGTCCAGGTGCAGCCCTCGGTGCCGAAACGGAGAGGAGAGAATGGGAAATTCCTCGGTTCTCTGCATATCCTCCCCCCTCACAAAAAAAGAGCGAGGAGGTAAAGGAAGGAAGGAAGGTATGAAAATGAGGAGTCAGGAACCACAGAAGAAACTAGGAAGTAAGAATGCAGTTGACCAACCTTCCAGGTCAAACATGGACCTGAATTTAGAATGGATTTGGGAAATATCGGAGGACACTGTGGAACATCAGTGGTGTTCCTGGAAAAATCAAAGGGGGCATGTTCCTACGGCAGGGAGAAGGTTATACAGTAAGCGTACAGTACAGTACGTTGTACTGCAAAGCAGCCCATCGTGCAACTCAACCCCGAGGCTCCACAACTATCCCTGGATGGCCACCGTTCTATAATCCCGCTCACCTGGCACAAAAGGGGGCTTGGTCCCAAGAGAAGATGGCATGGCTGTAGGAGTCACCGGCACTCCCAGCCTGGTTGGGGAGGGTGCTCCTTTGTCCGACACCAGCTCGTAGCACTTGCTCTCGCTCTTGAGCTGGGATCTGATGGCCTCCTTTAGCCGAGCTAGGTGGCCGCGAGAAAAGAGGTGCCCACGGCAAGAGACGTAGAAATCGTACTTGACTTCACAGTAGCGGCATTCAGATTGAGCCTGAGCAGCGGAGGGGGCCTCATCACCGCCACTGGTCCCGCCGGAGGCAGCCTTGGCCTTTTTCTCTTTCGCCCGTGCATTCTGAAACCACACCTGAATCACTCTTTTGGGGAGTCCTATCTCCTCCCCCAGCACCTCGCACTCCTGCATGGTCGGAGTACGGTAGACCTCATAACATGCCTTCATGATCTTCAGCTGGACGCTGGACATCTGGGTACGATACCGTCTCTGCCCCAGAGAATCATGATACTCTCCGCAACCTCCATCCATCATTCGATTCCTCTGGCCGCCAGAGAAGTCCAGGTCAGCCGAGGAGGAAGAGGAGGAAGAATCACTCAGCTCTCCTCCAGACAAGCTTCGGTCTTCGTGCTCCTTAGATAATTCTTCTTCGGTCATTTCTTCCTGGATTTGTGGTTCCATGACAACATCTGGCTTAGTTAGAAGAGGTTGGAGGTTAATCACAGAGAGGTTGGGTGTGAAGGATCCACCATAATGAACAGGGGTGTCCCGTGGTGGAGGGTTGAACTTTGGGAAAGTGTTAAGTTGTGCTGGTGGGGGCTTACTGGTTGGGGTGGTAGCACTGGTATTACACCGAAACTGGCCCTTTCGCTCACGGGCTCTTGTATTCTGGAACCACACCTGGACAACTCTCTTTTTCAGCCCAACTTCTTCGGAGATGCAGTCGAGCATTTTCCGGGTGGGGTTTGAGTCTTGCATGTACCAGCGGTAGAGAATCTCCAGTTGCTCGGGCAAAATGGTGGTACGCAGACGCTTGTCTCTGGGGGGTTCGTTATCTGCCCCGGCAACACTGGCTGTTTCACTTCCAGTGGGAGACAAGGTCCCATCTTCGTGTTTTCGCTTCTGTGCACGGGAAGGATCCGGTTGGACCAGGCGGTCGCCAAATGCTAAGGAAGTCATGTCAATGGGAGGTTGGGGACCTGCCGAAGCCAAAGGAGGACCAGCTGCTGGCAGATGACTAATGCGGTGGATATTGAGGAGGTCGCTGCTTGAGAATACAGCGGTGCACTGATCACAGGGATGGTTCTTGGAGATATCTGGGGGTACAGAGGTGGTGGGCTGCTCTTCTTCCACGGGTTTGTCTCCAGCACCATCCGTCTTCACATCCACACCAGGTCTCAAGATTTCTCGTTTCTCGTCCCCTTCCTCTTCCTCCTCCTGCTCCTCCTCCTCAGGCCCTTCATTCTCTTCCTCATCTCCTTCCACTTCATCCAGTTGATCATTGTAACACTTCTTTAGGTGGCGCACCAGCTCAAAGATGCAGCGGAAGGCCATCCGGCATTTTTTACAAGATGGCTGCACTGCGGCATTTCCGCTATTGCCCATGCTCGCTTCATTCCCGCCACTCTTTCGGGCTTTCTGGCGTGCGTTTTGGAACCAGACCACGATGACCCGGTTGGGCAGCCCCAAAAGGGCAGACAGACGCTCCACCTCGCCATCTTTGGGATAAGCGCTCGATTCAAAGAAGGACTGCAGAGCCTGAGATTGGAACTCGGTGAATTTGGTACGAGAGAAACGTCGGGTTGAAGGGAAACCCCCGCGGGGAAGATCCGGGACTCCCAACGATGCGCTCTTGCCTTCCTCTTCCTCCCCTCGAAACCAGAGAGACTTCAGACATTCGGGAGGTACACAGGAAGTCTCATTTTCTGGTGGGGGCACGACCACTGGCAAGGGTTGCATCAAAAATGGAGGACAGAGAGAGGGAATCTCCAGCGGCATGGATGATTGCGTCACAGTGATGGTGGTGTTCTCCATGACGGCGGTGGTGACGGTTGAAACTGCTGCCGCCGGAGTAGTGGTGACCACAGTTGTCTCAATTGGGAGCGCAGGCGGCGGCGGAGGATACATACTGTCGTAACTTTTCCGGAACTGTGCAGCGTAGCGATTGAGCGCCTCAAAGGGCAGGAACCGCCTGTGCACATGCTCCTCGTGGGTTTTCAGGATGAGCATGTTGGAGAACTGTTTCCCACAAGTGCCGCATTGCAGCTTGCCCACGGGGGGGCGCAGGGGCACAGTAGGTGGCACGGTGGCAGCTTGTTTACCCTCGTTGTACTGGATCACTAATTCAAAGCCGAAATTCTCCAGGAGGGCTTTGGCCGCTGTGCGAGAAACCTCACTCCCTGCTTGACTTCCCTCTACTTCTTCGCCTTCGGTCTCTTCGGCTGCCTCTGCCTTGGAGCTACTCGCGGTGGCTGTGGGGGCCACTTCTTCTTTGGGGGGCAGAGTTGGAAGCAGAATAGGCGATGGGGTGGGAAGGGTCAGGGTTGGTGTGGCTAAAGCCAACTTGGGGGCCACCTTCAGATCATGTAAGTAAAAAGGGAGCAGTAGCTGTTGCTGTTGTTGTTGAAGTTTCAGAAGGGACTCCGGCACCAGAGGAAAGGGGGGCAGCAGTGGTGGGGTGAAAAGGGGTGTAGGGAAGCGGGATAGTTCTGCCGTGGGCGGAGTGAGAAATGGGAGGGTGGGCACCTGAACACAGCTGGGGGTCTCGCTTTCCAGACAGGTCTCGTTGGAGGGCTCCAGTTCAGTGGGGGACACGTCTGCCTTGCCCGCAGCTTCCATCTTGGCCACGCGGGAGCGAGTCTGGTGCAACACGGAGCGCATGTGGATCTCCAAGGTGGAACTCTGGTTGTAAGAGACCCGGCAAGTGGTACACTTGTAAGGTTTGTCCGAAGAGGGCTGGAGAGCCCCGGAGGTGCCGGGTTCCCCCCGAGAGGACACGGACGGGTCAGCCGAGGCCTTTTTCATCTTGTGGAGGTGGGAAACCGAATTATAATGCACCAGCAGGATGTTCTTCTGGGTGAAGGACTCTTTGCAAACGGTGCACTTATAGGGACGGGCAGGATCCAAGAATTTGTCCAAGGCGAAATTAGTGGCCTTGCGGTAGGACAGTGGGTGCCGGGAATCCGGATTAAGCAGGACGGGTGGAGAGGCCTCGGGGGGTTCCACGAGGACAGATGCTGGTGGCTGCTGCTCTTCGGGGGCAACGTTTGGATGCAAAGGCTCGTCCTCTTCCGGCTCTTGAGGAGTGACAGCCGGAGGGAGGGGAGGAGGAGGAGGAGGAGTGGGGGGAGAGTCAGGAAGTGGCTTTTCCAGCTGCTCCTTAGGAGGTGGGGAGGCGGTGACAGAAGGTGGAGGCATTTCGGGGGAAAGTACCGGTGGTGAGGAGGCTTTCTCCTCTATGGCTGGTGCTGTTGAAAGGAGAAGGAAGAGAGGAAAGAGTTACAGGACTGTCAATATCCCTACAGAATTTCGGCTAGTGGTGAAGGCAGAAGGCTAGAAACCGGGACACTGGGAGTTCTAGTTCCGTCTGAGGAATGAAAGCCAGCTGGGTGGCTTCAGGCCAATCAGCAGGGGACATTGAGTTGTAGTTACACCTCAGGCATAAAAGTGGCTGGGTGACTTTGGGCTAATCATTAGGAGACTGGGAGTTCTAGT